TGGGATTTCCTTTCCTGAAATGATATAACGTGAGAGGTGAGAGGGATGGGCTGATTTTTGGAAAAGCTTAACCTCTGCCTGAGGGATTTTAGCACCAAAGTATTGATTTAAACTATTTCCCAGAAGACCTGAGCAGAGGGTGATAATCACTTACTAAGTCATGTTTTAGGCTCAAATAATAATAATAACAGCTACTACATGACAGATGCTGTGCTAAGCACATAATATACACCCTGTCATTTAACCATTCCAGGAGCCCAGAGAGATTGGGATTATCCCCAATTTCCGGATGAGGGGAATCTGGGGCACCAGGGGGTTAACTTGCCTAACAGCAGACTGAGTGTGGATTCCAATTCAGTCAAAATCCAATTCCCCAAATTTTAATTTTCAGTCTATGATGTCTGTTTGGTTTTTCTCCCTTCCTCCCTCCTTTCTCCTTTTTATTTCCTTTCCCCTCTCCCTTCCTTCCTCCTTCCCTCCCTCCTTCCCTTCCTTCCTTCCTCCCTCCTTTCTTTCATTCTTTTTTAAAGGAAAAAGCCTGATTCTACTCCCATTCCAGAAGCCTCTGCAGTTTTCTAGGGGCAATTAATTCATGAATTCCCTAGAGTGTTTCTGAGGGTGACGGGCAGAGGAAAGAAGGAAATAAACATGTTGAAAATCCAGTGGGTGCTAAGCAGCTTGCTAACAGCTTTTGTACGACTTGCTTCATTTAACCTTATAAACCTCTATAAAAATCAGGTTCTATTTTTATATCTATTTAAAAATGAGGGAACTGAGGTTCAGATAGGTACCTTGCCCAAAGTCACACAGATTTCAAAGGACAGAGCAGGGATAAATCTCGATCTTCTGATACAAGTCCATTGCCAAGTTGCATTACTGATCGCTATTGTTTTCTCCCTGCTTTATGTTATGTGTACCTTCCAGTGTGGTAGAGAAAATGGTCCGTTTTGGGGTGACATTTGTCACCCCTCTGCTTAATAGTGCTGAAATCTTGGTAATTCCACTTGGCTCTCAAAGTCTTTGGCAATCTGCTCTTTTTTAGTTCAGTAAACTTTATATCCCGTCACACCCTTTTTCTTCTCTTAACTCTTCTCAGGCTGATATTTCTGTTATTTCTATCCATTGCAGTAATTTCCATTTCCACATTTCTTATTCTCCACTAATCAAGCTGTATCCATCCTTCGATGCCCAGCGTAAGTGATGCAGGAAAACAGATGTGAGGAGCGAGGAGGGCTGAGTCCCTGGTCTCAGTTGAGCCCCTGAGACGTGCCCTGCCAAGTGTGGGTCCTTGGCTTCATGCAGGAAAGAACTCAAGTGAGAGCCACCGTTGAGTAAAGGTAGATTTATTTAGAGAGATACACACTGCATAGAGTGTAAGGCAAGAGAAAGGCAAGGAAAGAGTTGTGGGAACTGGGTGCTCAGGTTATAGTAAAAGTAGGTACACACTCCATAGACAGAGTGTGGGCCGTCTCCAAAGGGGAGAGTGAAAGGGTGCCACTAGGCGTGGTGTTGCCATGTTTTATGGGCTCGGTAGCTTCACATGCCTACAGGTGGGATCATTTCAACTGCCCTGGGGAAGGGGCTGGGATTCCCAGGAATTGGGCCACCACCCATTTTTTGGCCTTTTGCAGTTAGCCTTGGGGCTGTCATGGCACCTGAGAGCATGTTATTTGATCATGCTGTTACAATGAGCATATGATGAAGCTCAAGGTCTATTAGAAGTTAAACCTCTTAATCCTTAAGGCTAACTAGGAGGTGAATCTTCCACCATTTCAGTGTTAAATTACTGTCATTACTTGAGTGGTTGTGCCCTGCCCTCTTCCCTCCTGTCTCATAAGCTCCTCCCCATCTATTCTAGTCCTTGGTGCCGGTAACATCTGATGACCTCACAACCCTGCTGAAAAGCTTTCAGGGATAACCTTTATCTGCTAAACAAAACCCAGGCTCTTTTCTCAGTCTGAAATTCAAGTCGGCCATTCAGTCACAAATATGTACTGAGAACCAGTCATGTGCTAGGCACTCTAGACAATGCTGGGAGAACTGTCACGAACCAGACAGATGGTTGCTGCCCTCATGGTGAATAAGCTAGACATTAAATAATTACAAATATTAAATTAAGTAATTACTTGTTTGAGTCAAGTAATTAGAATGCCCTCAACAATTGGGTTTCAACCTATCTTGTCAAGAGTTCTTTGTCGTCCTTTTATTCCAACCGTGGGCTTCCCCAGGCTTCCCCACCTCTGGGGCTGTGCCCACGCTCACCCTCCAATCCTGAATGCAGGTTCCTCCCTATCCACCACATCCGCCTCCAGGACTGGCTTTGTTCTGCCTCTTCCATGAACCCTGCGAGACAACTTCTGCCAGACAGCTTTAGCCTGGAGGATCTTCCCTCATTTGAATTCCTAGCACTCATCCATTCAATAAACATTTACTGAATGACTTCTTGAAATGTTTGAAGAATGACTCTTCATGAGGTTCTAAACACTATGGTATTAAAGATTTAGGTTCTATGGGGAGTTAGACTTCCTACTGAGAAAGATCAAGGATTTTTTTCCTCTTCTCTTCTGGGTGGGGGAGGAGTGGAGATCCTCAAAACTGTATAGTAAAACAAACACAATTATCAATAAGCAAAATGACAATAAACATTGCCCAATTACTCATAATCCTACCACTTGGAAGAGATCCACCACTGGCAATTTTCTCTGTATCTTTTTTGTGGGTTTTTCCCCCCTCCTGTTTGTTTCTCTGTATCTATACTATTTTGTAAAATTCCTTTTTCCTCCAAATTAAATTTTTATCAAGAAAATTCTTTTCTTGTGGTGTTTTTTTTTTTTTAAACTACGAAATACATCTACCCTTTACTTGCTCTCTTCTGCTTGGGAGTGGAATGGTTTTATTTTGAACAAAATTTAGAGAATTTACTGAAAGATGCATGCATATTGTTTCGAGTTCACTCATCCTATGTGCAATAAGAATAGCCTGAACATTGTTTTAGGGCATTTACTCAGATATCAGGTACTCAGAAGCTCTTCAGTACCACACTCTATCCTTCCTTCTTCAAAACCCAAAATGTCTTGGTATTTCTATACACTAGGTTTACAGTGTAGCCACATTCATGTGCAAACCACCCAATGTCTGGCCTACAAGATCATAGGAGATCTTCCAGTCGACTCCCCTTACTTTAAAGATGAGCAGACTGTTTGAGTACTCACTCAAGATCTTGCATCTGGTGGCAGCAGAGCCAGAGATGCCAGCCCTGGTTATTTTTCAAAATTGCCCCCACTGTCTTCAGTTTGTCTAACAATTAACCCCAAACTAAAATTAAACTAAAAATACTCAGGGGCACACTAACTCTTGCCAAATACATCTTATCTGTACCTACCATGGAAGAGGAAAAGATAATGCAGCTTTGTAGAGATCAGGCTAGATCTTTGAGCATGGACTTGTTTTGAAATGTCAGAGAACCTTCTCACTGGAAATCTATACTGATGTAAAAGGATTAAAGCACAGAAAAAATATTAGGGGCCACCAAGCTCTTTCTTTCTTAATGTTTGAGAAATGGAGGATAACAAGGATGTAGGAAAAGGTCGGCCTTGCTCATGAACTGCAGTATCCTCTTGTATGTATATTCTTCTTTGGTTCTTCATCTGATTTGTAAAGAGGTCACCAAGATCCAAGGTGCAATTCCCCCAGGCAAAAGACACCCAACACTTGTAGAAAATTGAGTCTTTTCAGAGAGACCAAGCCCACTTTACCGACAGCTTTCCCAGCCTCAGTTTGAGCCCCAGTAAGGTGGTGTCTCGTCTGAATTCTAAAGATCGACGGTATTGTAATCTCTTCCCATAGGAACCCAAGGAAGGGTGAGCTGTATGCAGTCTTCATACAAGAGAGAATTGTAGCTTGAAGAGTTCCAAAGAACATTCCAGTGGGCCTGAAGGCCTTAACAGCTGAAAGGTTACGGAAGTAGGAGTGGGGGTGCAATTTGGCCGGACGGGAGCGGAAGCTGATCCACCTGGTGACCAGGACAGATGCAGACCTAAGAGAAGGGAGAATTCAACTCTGAGAGGGAGCTGGCGAAGAAAGAGCTCTCCCGGGAGGGTGCAGCTCAGCTCGCTCCTTCTCTGCGTACTCTCAAAACTCACTGTGGAATCAAGAACACAGGTGCGGCCCAAAGGAGTCCCTACCACTCCGCGGCAAACAAAGGGAGCGGTCTCTTTCAGCCCTTCGGGTTTGAATGAGGGCTCGGCTTTACCTTTTAGGACCCACCCATCCCTCCTCAGGCGCCCAATGAGGCCGCAGCCTCTTCCAGCCGGGCGGTGCTGAACTCTCCCAGGAAACAGACAGGTACCTCCGACCAATGGCTGGAGCTGCGGCGGGCCAATGGGAGAGAGAAATGGGTCAACCTGGGGTTTGAGAATGAGAGAGCCAGCACAGAGGGCGGGGACGCAGAGGGCGAGCGACGTAGGCGCAAGGGGTGGAGAGGGGCGGGCCGGGTAGCTAGAGGGGCAGCCCCAAGCGTGGCGGGAGCAACCTGCAGACGGGTCAGCGGCGGCCAATGGGAAGACAGGTTGGCTCCGGGGCGGACCCGGGCCCCGTAAGCCCCGCCCCCTCGGGTCCGCAGGGCTGGGGCGGAGCCAGGTCCGCGTCAGGTGGTCCCGGGCGTGCGAGCGGCGCTGCGGGCGGGGCGCGGCGCGGAGTCGGGAGCGGCGGCCAGCGGGCGGCGGCGGGCACCGGCAGCTTGAGCAGGTACCCGCGGCGGAGGTGGCCAGGCCGCCCCAGGGGGCGAGCGCGAAGGCAGGGGCTCCGGCCCGCCGCGCCCCCATGCTGCGGTGAGCACTCGCGCTCGGCGCTCTGGTCGCCTCGCCGCGCCAGCGCCAGGGAGCCCGCTCTCCCCGCCCAGTCAGCCCGGGCCCTACCTGCGGCCGCCGTCGGGGGAGGGGGGTGCCCCCAGCTCTGCGGAGCCGCATGAACAATAGGTGGCGGCGGCTCCTGCGGGCGGCGGCAGCCCCGCACCCTATGGATCGGCCGCTCCATGGAGACCTCCAGAGCGCTTCTGGGCTGCCTGGCGAGCGCCGCTGCTGCCGCCCCGCCGGGGGAGGATGGAGCGGGGGCTGGGGCCGAGGAGGAGGAGGAAGAGGAGGAGGAGGCGGTGGCGGCCCCCGGGGAGCTGGGCTCCGACGCGCCGCTGCCCTACTGGACGGCTGTGTTCGAGTACGAGGCGGCGGGCGAGGACGAGCTGACCCTGCGACTGGGCGACGTGGTGGAGGTGCTGTCCAAGGACTCGCAGGTGTCCGGCGACGAGGGCTGGTGGACCGGGCAGCTGAACCAGCGGGTGGGCATCTTCCCCAGCAACTACGTGACCCCTCGCACCGCCTTCTCCAGCCGCTGCCAGCCCGGCGGCGAAGACCCCGGTTGCTACCCGCCCATTCAGTGTAAGGCGAAGGCGGGGCCCGGGAGCCCGGCAGGGAGGAGGGGTGGGGGGAATGGTGTAGGCCTGGGGCTGGTCGAGAAGGGAGCAGACCCCTCCTCCAGGGTTACGTTAGGGTGGGCAGTGATTAACCTGGGAGTGGATGTGTGCGCGCGCGCGCTCACGCTGCAGGGTCTTTGGGCCGTGCGATGGGCGAGATAGACACGCCGCAGGCCTTGCCTTGGAACCTCAGGCCCTTGGGCTTCTTCACCTTCATCTGACCATCTCAGCAGCAGCTCCTGATTCCACATCCTCAAGCTCCAGCATGAGAATCTCCCCTCTTCCCCCACCCCCAGTCTGGAAGGATTTTAGGCAAGCTGGCGGTTTCTGTTATAACCCTAGTCCCCAAATCAAGGACCTTCCTGACCTCTTCTATCGCCTGTCCCCGCCCCTTAAAGGCATTTGCTTTCAAGGAGATGGGGGTGTCACCGCAGGGCTGGGCTGGCTGGCTAGTCCCGGAAGCCTGTGGGAACTCAAGGCTAAAGTGTCTTTGAAATACCGTGTTGATTTCTTGGATACTAATCTTGTAGTTCAGAAGTTGTACCTTAAGGAGTCTCGCTGAATAATGTGCTAAGAAGGGTTTGTGTATGTGGAGAGGCAGGTGTTGAGTGGAGAAATGATTAGAGAGGGAAAAGTATGTCGTTCCCCCGTGGGAGACCAGGAGCACAAGGCACAGTGGCTAAATCCCAGCCCCTTGACACCCAGACAGTATATTTCCTCCTTTCTTTTCACCCTAGATCCTTGCCTATATTTGGTATTTGCCAAATCACAGGGGGATCATGCCCAGGGGTCCCTCCCAAGGCCTTTCTTCCAGTGTCCTGGTTTTCACCAATTTCCCAGGAGCCGCCTGTTCCACACCCTGTAATGAAATTTTCTTTGTTTTTTCAAAGGAGTTAAATTGCCATTAGAATCCTTTAATCGGTGGTGCTAGGTGGTTTTAGAAGAAAGATATAAATACCTCCCAGTGCAGTTTATACTACTTTGCTTTTGAGTGTTTACATAATTTCTTTCCTGTTAAAAAAGTACTGTTAGTACAGATGTATCATTATTTATTCCATATTATAGATATTTTGCATCTTAGTTGATTTAAAAAAATCATTACCAAGGGCCAACTTTAAACATTTAGTTTTATTTTTTAATTTTTAAAAATTTTTTGTTGTATTTTATAGTTCTAAAATTTTATTTGTAACAGTTATCTTTCTATTCCTGTGACTTATTTTCACGGAAACAATTGTGTTATTATCTTAAGATGTTTATTAAATACCATCCATTAATATCAAAATCATTAACCCCTCTCCTTTTTTTCTACTCTCCTTTGTTTTTTTATTGGTGTTTTGACTGTCAAATTGATGTTCAAATCTTTAGTTTCCTTTGTTTCTCTCTCCCTCTCATTCAGTTAAAAACTTCCTGCTTCTACATTTTGATCTTTATAATACTTAGAGGTGACAAATTACTTTAAATTTTTTTCTAGGTGTTACAGCTTTTTGGCTTTTTGCTGCAAAGATGAAGGCTAAGGGTTCTAGCATGTAGTGTCTCAAATAGTGTTGAAGATGAACTTTGTCACGTGTTGGAAGAGATGTTAGCCTGTAATAATAAGCATGTTAGAAAACTGTAATAATAAGCATGTCAGATTTCAAGGCTCTTTGTGGGTGAGGTTTTGTGATTTTTTTTCTCAGGGACAGCTAATGTCAGACTAGAAGAGCTGTATGAGGTTCACGAGGAGGAACTGAGTTTCTTTAGTATCTTGTGCTTCCTGCTGTCAGAGTCAGGAGTGAACATGACTTAGACTGAAAGAATGCATCTGCAGAAAGCCAGACAGGCCCACAGTGTGTTACAGGAGAAGCTTCTTCTCCTTTGGGCACCCAGGACTTAACCTTTATTGTAACAAAATTTACCTTGGGTGGAGTAGATTCCTAGATCTAAAACTCAGATGATGAGGAAGTAGAAAGAATCCGTGTTATTGAAAGAATTGACTTGGAAAGCGCAACATCTGAAAGTCTTGGTGGGTTATTTTATTTAACCACACTGGGAGTTCTGATCTTGAATGATATTCTTGATAATTCTCAATTCAGATAATTCAGGAATTCATTCTTGTTTTAACTCTTGTCAAAAACCAATTAAAGTGCGCAGTGAAAGAGAGATACTGTATTAAATACAAGGAGATAAAGAAATGATAAGATAAGGAGGTGCTTGTGAGTCACACATGCACGGAAATTGGTGCTGTAAACTTATCATTTCAGTGCAGTGCTTTGATAAAGATGGACACAAATTTGCTGGCAGATGTGCCTCTGATCTGTATGCTGTGTCCACCAGTTGAGTTAGTGTCACTTAAAAAATAAAGGTGATCGACCACCTTGTCTCCAAAGACTTGGAGTGAAATTGATCTGCTGACAACTTTTCCCAACTTTTTGAACTTCCCCTCTGGGGCATGGATTTGACATTAGATTATGAATAGAAGACACAAAGTCAAGTAATAAAATTCAGTTTTAGTTTCAAATGTTGCTTTCCAAAGTGAAAATTTTGTTTCAAACTTTAATCAAAACAGAAGAGGGGGAACTTACTAAATCTTGTGACAAAGAAAGCATATAAGAGGGTTATTATAAATCATCTAACATTTATAGAGTGCTTTTATTCCCTCCAGTGTAGGTCTTCGAGTTTAGCTCTCCATGGGGCAGACAAATATAAACAGCTCAGGAGCTTGCTTGTCTTCTTTGTTTTAGTGAAAGGTGGAAAATGTACCGTTCTGAACTTATCATCTTGGGAGATATATAACCCTAGGTATTAAATTTTTTTTCTTACAGGAGAGTTGTGTATATTTTTCAAGCAAGGCATAAATTAAGGTTATTTCTAATTTTGCATTTTTTTCTTGCATTCATTAGAAATATAAGGATGTATTTTCAGATGTAATTAAGGTTTTTAAATGAATGAGATATGTACCATTTACTTACCCCAAACCCACCAGAATATACCTATATATTTAGTTTCCAAGGATACAATTGAGAGGGAATAACATCTTGACTCCAAAAATGAAAGAAATAAAATATCTTGTTCCTGATATTCCTGGAAATTTTCTTCTACAGAAACTGAAAAATGTGCTGTATGAGACTTGACCTCATTCTTACTTAAAACCAGGTCTTGACTGGAATGGGGAAGGGAAGGAGAGCCCCGCATCCTCTGAGCTGCAGCTGAAGGTCTAGTTTCTATCCAGAGGGACTTCTGAGCAGGGAAGGAAGAAAGTACCCTCCCTTCTCCCTGCATTCCCCACTGTTGTGTCTTCTGTCTGCTTGTAAGCTGTGTTCTATACTTTTCTTGAAGGCTGGTCATAATATTTCCTTGACTTAATAGCAAGAATCTGAGTTTATGTTCTACTCAGAGAGAGATTATTGCTTTGCCTTCTCCACAGAGGTTTTCTGTCTTCTGTGAAATTCCATCAGAGGAGCTGTCCCTTCAGCACTCTAGTTGAGAATCTCATCTTTTGAATTCTCTTATGTTTAAATAAATATTTAACACCTCCCTTGTGTTCACAACTATGCTTCAGACCAGAGGAAAGAAGACAGAGTGCAAGAGAAAATAAAACAGTTAATTCCCTTAAGGAGAATTCACATATTCAATTGAGGAAATAAGGTGTGTAAATACAGATTTATTAAATAGGCACATATCTTCATCAGTGAAAAATCTGGTAGAAAAAAATGAGTGTTACTTCCCTTCATGAGCAAGGGGACTTCTAACATAACTTACATTCTCCTCCAAGGGCGTTTCTAATCTCCTTGACATAGGCATATTTTTCTCTTTCATGAAGATGGATAAGGCAAGAATTCGTAATCAGTCAGAATTCACTTTAGGACCAGGAAACACTCAAGCTATTTTAAGCAGAAAGCGATTTAGCGCAGGAAATGAGGTGCTTACGGGTTTGTTGGAAGGACAGGGAGAAGGGGCTCTCAGATGGACGTAGGGGACCAACTCCCAGAACGCTGCAGACCTGGCCCACCAGGCAGGCTGTTGCTTCTCTAACTGAAAAGGCATAGAATCAGGAGTTGCCATTGAAGCTGTTGACTTCAAGAACACCCTGTCATGGTTGCCGTTCGGAGATCATTAGGTGACCACTTGGCCTTGTGTCATCCCTTTCCGCATCCACAGAGCTAATGATTGGACACTGACATGCTATTGCAGAAAAACCCCACTCCTCCACAGAAGAGTGAAGCCAGGAGAAGCAGCAGGGAGATGGTCCCCATCTCACTTCTGTCTTCCAAATCTTCTGCATCTCATTGGCTGAACCAGAACTCTGTCAGGGAATCTGGGAAATGTGGTTTTTAGCTTTCTGGTCTCTGTAGGACTGAAAGGTATGCTGGAGGATTGTAGAATGGATGTTGATTGCTAGTCTGCAGGACCTGCCATACCATTTATTCTTCAAGAAGATTGCTAGGTGAGATAATCTTGAACAGTTGGAAACTTTAGGGTGAAGATGGGCTATATATTTCATATACCTAAAGGCAGTCCAGCTAACTTTTCCTAAGAGTTTCCTTTGTGCCGACTGCCAAGTGCATTACAAAATATAAATGAGTATTAGCCCTAGGTAAGATAGAAGTGCTATAACCAAGCAAGAGCTGAGTTTTGAGCACCACCAGCGTCTGAATAGAGGATGGAGGCGGCATGGAGCTGGCTGAGAAAGGATGGGAACAGGCAGCGGTGGGCAGTTCCTCTTTTGGTCTTGCCAGAAATTTGTATTCTTAGTTTTTTGTTGTTTTGTTTTGTTTTTTAAACAAAGTGTGACTATTCTCTGTATTTGTTTCAGGAAGGCCAATTCAGTTTTTTCCCCTGGATCTGATTTTGGTTTATTTCATACCGACGTAGATTCCGCCCCCCCCCCCATTTTACTGCACTGTCTGTTGGCCACCTACTGAATGTTCGGCATGGCAAAGGCACTGGTGAGGAAGGCAGGCAGAATCCACCCTTGTGGTTCTTGCAGTCTATCAGGACGATAGGCATTGAACGAGTAATTATAACCTTGCTGAGTCTTGCCAGATAGAGACTCCTGTGAAAGTGCTTGATGGGGGCCTGACCTCATTTGGTTTGGGGTTTGGGAAAAATTCCTCTAGGAAATTATAGTTAAGCTGAGACCTGGGGGATAAGTGTGAGTCAGCCAGGTAAAGACAAAGAGACTGAGAAGACGGAGGACGGGGTTTTCATGAGTAAAAGGAGAGCTAGCACTTGCTCATATAGCAGCACCATATCTAGCCTGAGGTTTTTAATCACTCGTAGTTCTTATTACCTATGCACGGAAGCCTCTCCAGAACCAAAGACAGAATCAAGTGCCATAAGTTCAGACCCTGTATTTGGGAAAGAGGATGAGTGCTTGGATGTGGTGCTGGGAGCCTCAGGGTAGAGCTGTGGCCCAGGCGACTGCTGGAGGGAGATATTTCCTCGGAGACTCCTTCCCCGCACTTCTTTGTCACCGGGTCCTGGTGGAACGAAGTTGTGAAAGGCTCCCATCTTCATGGCTGCTGAAGTTCAGACCCTTGTACTCATGTGCCTGGGTCATTCCAGTGGCCTCCTTAGTGGATCCTTTTGCTGCAGGAGACTGTCCACCATGTCATAGTCCACACGGCTGCCAGAATTGGTTTCTTGTCTAAGTCACAAGTCGGACAATACTCCCTTTCTTAAAGATACACGACTCCTGTCATTTACAGTGTGGAGTTTAAGTCCCTCAGAATGGCTTTAAAAACATTTCATGACCTGGCCTGGAGCCTCATCTGCCCTGATGCGTATAATGCAGCCGCCCTGGACTCCCTGAAGTTCCTGATGTGCCATGTACTCTCATGCCCCATGCTCTTGCTCGTGACCTTCCCTCTGCCTGGACTGTCCTTCTCTGCCCTGATTCTCATTGCCTGATGAGATCCCTCCCACTCATTCTTTAGGCCCCATTTCAAATATTGCCTTCCCTGAGAGTCCTTTCCCCTCTCACCTTGTTAAACCCTGTCCCTGGGTGGGAGTTAGTGATTTCCTAATCTTCAGATCATACAAAGCTACAGAACTCTTGTCACACTGCAGTTTGGTTGTTGTCTGTCTGCCTTGGCACTGGATTGTATGCTTCTCACCACCCAGTATGTGCATAGTAAACTCTGAAGGAGTCACATAAAAACAATCTCCCTCAACTCTCCCTCTAGTTAAAATGGCTGGTCTTGGTACAATAGTCTACAGGATGTTCCAAGTGGAACTTATTTCATGAACATTTATTGAATGCCTACTGTGTGCTAGTCCCTGACAATACTGCAACAGAAAGAAGTTCATCCCATTTCCTGTTTTTAGAGAGTTTATAGCAGAGAGACAGAAAAGCCAAGTGAACAGGCAGCTTGCTGTGTGTACCCATCCAGGTAAATGGGCGATTAAATGGTGCCTGCAGGACTTTTCTGACTTGCTTCTCTTTCTCCTCTCTTTCTCAGTGTTAGAGATTGATTTTGCGGAGCTAACCCTGGAAGAGATTATTGGCATCGGGGGCTTTGGGAAGGTCTATCGTGCTTTCTGGATAGGGGATGAGGTCGCCGTGAAAGCAGCTCGCCATGATCCCGATGAGGACATCAGCCAGACCATAGAGAATGTTCGCCAGGAGGCCAAGCTCTTCGCCATGCTGAAGCACCCCAACATCATTGCCCTCCGGGGGGTGTGTCTGAAGGAACCCAACCTCTGCTTGGTCATGGAGTTTGCTCGTGGAGGGCCTTTGAATAGAGTGTTATCTGGAAAAAGGATTCCCCCAGACATCCTGGTGAACTGGGCCGTGCAGATTGCCAGAGGGATGAACTACTTACATGATGAGGCAATTGTCCCCATCATCCACCGCGACCTTAAATCCAGCAACAGTGAGTACCGAGCCATGGGGCTGGGGGGCTGAGAGCACTGTCACACTCAGTCCCTGGCTTCCATCAGAGTGGATTCCCGAGGAATCTTAGTGGGCAGGGAAACTCCTTGTATAAAATCAGTCCATCTTTCAGTTGAGATAGAGGAGGTAGAATGAGTGCCAGTGAAATTGGTTTAAGAAGAGAAGAATGAGGCACCAGAGGCGATAATTCTGAGCTCTTACTAGCAGGCAAGGTTGGCAGTGTGTAATTCTGATCTACTGCACAAAACAGAACTTACAGATTTATTTTTCCGCTTGAAGGAAGGGTGCCTGTGATTGCAAAAAGGATTTTCCTCTTTGGTGGAACAGCAGGTAAAGCAAACCCATCCTACCTGTTTGCATTTCTACCTAAACACCCCAGCCTGAGGTCCCCACCAGAGAAGGCGCCGTATAAGAAAGAGGAGATGTGCTGTTTAAGCTGTGAGGCCCATTCAGGTGACTATGTCAACTTGGAGAGCTTGACCTGGTGGGTAGGACTACAGCCCTCCTGACGGCCTTGGGGTAGCAATAATCAATTGTCGTAACTGCTTAGTGTTTAATAGCAGGAAACTGAGAAGTAACTGTTTATTAAACATCTGGAATCTATAAACTAGACTGTAAAGCAAGTGTTAGACATAATTAAATGATGAGTTGGTAGGAACTTCAGTCTCTTTCCTTGGCTGAATCAGCAGGTGCTGGGAGTACACGTCTTTGCCTTGGAAACTTGGATTTTCCCTTAACCTAAACTGCATGGCAGAGAGGATGCAATTTGCTAAGTGGTATATGCTTAAAGTCACTCTGAGCATCCTGTCCAGAGAGGGAGGAATTAGGACTTGGGGCCCCAGAAACTCCACTCTCCGCATCCTTCAGCTTTGAGTCCAGAAACCTTTCAGACTTTGTTTTGCTCCCAGCTGTTCCAGATGTGGCTTATTTTTCTGTTGATGCTATTGTGAATCTGTTAATTCAAAAGATACATTTTAAATTACTTAGGTAGTAAGTGTTTTTATTGTATAAAAATTAGAAAGTAGAGATAAAAAGAAGAGAAAAATCACCCATAATGTTTTCCTTCAGAGTATAAGTCTTACATTTGGCATATTTTCCCAGAAATTTTTGGAGTATATATGGCTTATATATACACAGCACACTTTCCAATTTATGTTATCTTTTTAAGCCTTTTTTTTTTTTTGGTGGGGGTAGGTAATCAGTTTTATTTGTTTATTTATTTAATGGAAGTACTGGGGATTGAACCCAGGACCTCGTGCATGCTAAGCACGTGCTCTACCCCTGAGCGATACCCTCCCACCTTCAATTTACTTTAAAATAGCTGTTGCTACCTTTGCCTCTTCTACCCACACCACCTTCCCTCTTAATAAAAGCAAAATTCATCCTTGTGTGAGTATAGAACATTAAATACATATTTTAGGTATAATGCATGTGAAGGATTTAAGTTTCATAAAATGAAATCTGGTTTCTCTTTTCCTTCTGACATTATTCTCTACTGTATGATTATTATCATCCCTCCTCCAAAATTCTGTTCTTTAAATGTATGAAGTAAATTAAAACTTTTGGTGACCCCCCTTTTCGAAGTAATTTCTACCTAGAGACTGCTTTGGTTGATGGGGTAAGAATAAGATGTGTTGGTAGAAAATGTGATATAGAAGTGGGATTTAAGAAATTTTTTCTTATAGCCTTATTATGCTGGGAGAGCTGGGCAAAGTGTATTAACCTTATATAATTGAGCCCATTTAGAAACTTGGGCTAGGAAGATGGAATTGTAAAAGTTAATAATTTCCTCTATGAAGTTTTAAATCTGGGTGTAAATTCAAGCTGTAAATACAAGATTTTACGTTTTTATGATTTACGTTTGGAAAGGAAAAGCTAACTTGCCAAGGTTCTGCTGTTCGCAGGAGATGGCAAGAGATCTGACTGTCATCTGTTACTCAGGAGACAAAGCATTGGTCCTTCTTTGTCCTTAGGTGGAGTTTAGGATTGCCGAGGGGGGCCCTCAGATACAGTGTATGATGGCAGGAGTGGGACTTACACATAGGGCAGTATTATAAAGGACCTCATCAAGACAGTTGATGCCCTGAAATGTGCATAGTCCATTGGGCTGCGTGGTTGGTGCTGACGCTGGTGCCTGCTGTAAGTCTCACGTGTTGAAATGGGTAGCTCCTTGACATTTGTCTGTAGGTGGCTGTTTGCCTGGATTTGAATTTATTCAGCGTGAGCCTTGATGACATCGTTATTCTCATTCCATTGCTCTGTGTGCATAACTTGAAAATCACTTTAGAAATGTTATGCCACTCCTTTGCCTCCAGTTTGAGAGTCATAACTTCTTTGTATTTTGCAGACCTGGGGATACTGGCCTGTCTCTCTTGATTTTTCTTAGGGATTCCAGAGAGTTGAATTTTGGTCACGGTTACATGAGGGCAGAATTCTATGAAGTGTATGTGTTAGTTGACTTTGAACCATTAGTGAAAAGAGTAAGTATATAAGGGGGCTGTCTTTGTGGAAAAAGAAAGTAGTTGGTGATAAACATCTACAGAAGGTTCAGTAAAAAAGTGATTTATTAAATGCTTTATTATCCTGATGACCCACTTAAAAAAGTCACGTGCTGTTTACTGTCAGTAGATGTGTACAGCATGTAACATCCTGTGTTCATATATCATCTGCAATAAATTTGGGTTTGATTGCACCTAACCTAAGAAACAAAACAAAATAGCAGTGGCTAAGACAAAGTATACGTTCGTTTGTCTGAAAACAGGTCTGTAGGGCCTTAGGGCATCTCCACATGTCATCAGGGACCCAAGCTCCTGTTTTCATTCCATCATCCCAGCACATGGCTTGCATCTTGGGGTCACCTTACGGTCTAAGATGTTTGCTGAAATGCCAGCTATTTGGTCCAAGTCACAGGCCCGAAGGAGCAGGAAAAGCAGAAGCAGAGAAAAACTGCTCCCGTGGCTGAGTTGCCTCCTGTTAACTTCCCAGAAGCCCAGCACAACACGTCTGCGTGCATTCAGTGGCCAGAAAGGAGTCACATAGCCATGGCTGGTGTTGGGGAGTCTGGGAGATGGAGGCTTTCATTCTGAGTGGTGTTGAGTCTGGCTAATAATCAGGGTCTGTTACCAAGGAAGAGAGGGGGCATGGCTAGTGGGGAATCAGCGGGCAGTCTTACCATGGAACCTTGGGACTCGTGTGGGGAAGAGCTATTAGCTGTTTAGCATCACACAGTCAGACAAGGTTAGCCAGGCCCTGGGACACATGGCTCAGACCCCTGACTTAACAGATGGTTTCTACTGCTTTACTGCATTGCATCATTAACTTAAAAATCTCTTCTTCAAACTGCTCATTAAAAGCTCTGGCTATAAAAGTGGAGTTATGTGTCTCTGCCCCTCAGATTGGGGAAAACCAGCTTCTTGATTTGTTAGCAAAGGTGTTAGTGAGAGATCATCTTTTAGTGGAAAGATTGTCCTTTTGGGGGCAGGTAAGTGGATTTCAGGATTTTGGCTTAAAGGCATTTGGCAGAATAGCAGTTTAATAGGGGCCATTAAAAGTCAAATCAGTGTAAAAATGAGATCATGTGAAAAAGCTTTGGAAGATGAAAAGCCTTACTCAGAGTGAAGGTAGTATTATTACTTTTATGTTATTATTAAATAACTTTTTTCCTCTCCTTAGAAAACAGAAAAATATAGAACTAAATATGGTGCGTGTTTTTCCAATTTTTGCATTTATGGATATTTGTTTTCACCCCTAAGGGAAATCCGAGTAAGTGCATTGCTGTAGTGTGCCTTCTCCCTCCCCTTCTTGTCAGTGTATTGTGACCACGTTCTGATGTAAGTATTCTTCTGCCGCAGAAAAGGTTGTAGAGTATTCCACTCTTTAGGTGTAGATGTAGTGTATTAACTAAAGCAAACTCCTACATCAGCATCGTCACCAAACCCCCTAATAATTAATGATGATGATGATGATGATGAAGAAACAGGCAGCTAGTGCTTATTGAGTGCCTGCTCTAGGTCAGCCGCTGTCTAGGCATTTCACATGGATTCTCACCTAGTTCTCACGGCAACCCAGTGCCTTTGTTTTTATGAGGAGGCTGAGGCTCGGAGGGGCGGCCGTCTCTCTGGGAGCTCACTGCCAGTCCTGAGAGCAGCCGTCGGCCCGGGTCTGGCTCCTCGGCTTGTGTTCCTGTCTGCTGCCCTGCTGCTGGCATTCTGCTGGGGGGCGGCTGGGGTGTTTCACGGCCCCACTATTCATTTCGTGTGCCCTATAGTGCCTTAGTTTCATATGATTAGGAATAATACTCCTCTGCTCACAGAGCCTTAGCATCCACAGTTCATTAATGTATGATCAACTCAGCCTTCATTTCGTAGGAGCGGAGGTGAGTGAGAAGTGTATCTGGTCTGGGGCTAGCCACGCCTGCCTTCCTCCTTTCAGACGGCCCCTTAAACAGGACGTCTTTGCTGCCTTAGCTCCCTCTTCTTCCTCTGAAAGCATTTTCCCCTCAAGCCAAGCTGGTTTCCCCTTCCCCCCGGAATACCCTCTGGCCCTCCCAGCCGCGTACCCTTGCCATGGAAATAACCTTACTTTGGGGGCTACGCTCGCCTCATCCCTCTGCCTCTCCAAACCCTACCCGTTTTCCTGTGCTCATCTCAAACCTGGCTACTTTTCCTTCCCGCTAGCCCGTCACTGTAGACAGTGTTAAGTAGTCATTTGGTGCCTAACATAGATTGCCTGGCTAGTATGCAAAAGAATATTAGGATGACAAGGGACCAGAGCTGCTGGTCCAGTGGTTGCAAGCACAGATGCCTTCTGTGACGCCGGAGGGCCCGGTGGGCCTGCTGCTGAGGGAGTGCGCGCTCTGCCCAGCACAGCACAGGCCGCCAAAGGACACGGCCAGACGCCGCGCTGCTCAGTTCCGTCCCCCAGCCTCCTCTCTTTGTTGGCTCTGATTTCAGGAGCATTCCCTACGTCTCCAAGTAGACG